GTGCACTGAAGATATTTCCTAGCTGGGTAATGAAACGTTTGCAAGAAAATAACCAAGCTCAGAGAACCCCAAGGACTCCACAAAAATTGAGTATTCACATTATGCCCCCAAGGCCAGGGTCTAGGAATATATAGTGAAAGGATAGGAGTAAATGAATACATTAAATATCAGTGAAACGGAGTATTCCATTTTACATCCAGTCCTCATAACATTTCCATTATATTGACAATATTTATGACATGAAGTTCTACCAAATATTTTGTAAAAGATTTTGGACTTGTCTAAGAAATCTGCTTTCGGATTGCTTTGAATGATGAAAAGGTAGGAAAAAATAATCATTAAAAATAATCACTTCTCCCCTTTTCTCCCATTTCAATGTTACGCCCCAGGAAAACAGAGGAAACTGAAATTGCAAAATGAGTATTAGAATTTCATTCTTCTGTGATGAAACAGGCTGCCCCTTGTTTCTTTATATTCACTGAAAATCTTTTGTGGGTTATCTGATCATTCTAAATATGTGTAGCATTAGTCTTATTTTATTTTACTGATTTACTTATTTATTTTAAAATATTTATAACCTGTCCAATATCCAGAGGATTTTGGAGAAAACTAGTTAGATATCATCAGGTTGGTTCTGACCTCTGGCAACATTATGGATAACTGTTTGCCATCTTGACCTGACCCTGGCAACAATTCTTAGCTTTTCCAAGGACATGGCAATGACCTCCTTTATCCCATCCATCAACCTTGATATTTTTCCCCCTTTTATTTCTCTCAGTCTTGCCAAACTAGTGGCTTTTTTTTTTTTTGGTGCATCATCTGCTTGCATCATGTGCCCCAAGATGTGAGTTTCTGCTTGCTGATCAACTTACCAAGCAGTTTGTCAGTCTTTTTCATCCAGAACTATTTGTCTCTTCTTGCAATTGCTAGTAACCATCTCCAGATCCATAAATTGAAGGCATCTGTTTTCCCTCTCTCACTCTTTCTTGGTGTCCAGCTTTCATAGCCATACTTTAACATTGGTGAACTCTTGCATTAACTATTCTAACCTTTGTTGTCATAGAAATATGACAAAAATCGTTCATGGTCAGATAAGATCATTGCCTTCCTACCTAAGATTACATCTCCAGCATACTGTCAATTTTTATATCTTGAAATTAAGGATATGAAACTATCTACCACTATCACTTTGCCGTAAACTGTGAGTTCACTAAGCATAGTGGTTGACATTAACCTGGACTTTTCAGTTTCCATTTTTATTTTCATAAGCTCTCCAAAGTCGCCTTTATTTCCAGCTAACAAAGTGATATTGTCTGCATATCACAAATTGTTAGTGTTTCAACCTTCAGTTTTGATTCCAGCTGCCATCTCTTCCAATTTTGCCAATCATATAATATATTCCCTGTGTAATTTCAACAGATAGAGGGACAATATGTATCCTTGTCTCATTCCCTCCCCTATTCTGGACCATTCTGTATCTTCAGACTCAGTTGTAGCTTCTTGTTCTTCTGAGGAATAATTGTTCTGGTTCAACCATTAGCCTAATATATTCTACCATGATCTACACAATCAAAGGCCTTCCTATAGTCGATAAAGCAGAGGTAAAACTCCTTTAAAAAAACTCCCTTGCTGTCTCTATTATTCATCTTATGTTTGCTACCTGATCTCATAATCCTTTGCCTTTATGAAGTCTTCCTGTTCATTTGGTGTTTATTGTTTTGTAAGGCATTGAGTAAAATTTTGCTCGCAGGAAGAATTAATGAAATTTTCATATTCTCTTGCATCTTCCTAAAATAAATATTCATATTTTCCAATCTCTATGCCACACAGTCTTGTTCCATGATTTGGGGCAACTCCCAGGCTAACCCAAACTCCACCCCAGGGCAGGGAAGTTGAAAACTACCCAGACCCTGAGGGAGGCCACCATTTGCCTAAAAATGAAGTAAAGCAGTTCAGGGAAGGAGCCTTCTGAACCACAGGGAGGGCAAAATCCCTAGTTTGTTCCTGACACTCAACTTCACAAGTAGGAGCTCACATCCAGCCACCTGTGGAACAGGTTCTAGTCACCACAAGTTTCCCTGTAGTACTACTGTAACTCCTTGTCTCTGGCTTTGGTGTCACCTGAAAACCTACTCAGGCAAAATTCAGATGCAGAAATCTTTGCATCCTCACTCAACCATGTCTCAGTGATACATGCCAGGTCCAGTCTCTTCCTCACTAGAAGAGATCTCCTCAAAAATATATATTTTCCTTTTATTATTATTTTCTTCTATTTATTAACATTCTGGGTATATACATCTTTCCTCTTCTATTGTTGCTTAACACTGGAAATTTGTGGTCAGTCATTATAGATCTTCCTTAGTAGTGAAGGCTTTCATCCTCTGTTTTTCTTTAGCTATCATGATACCTTATTCTGAATGACACTTGCATCTTTTCCATTTAGAAATGTTGGGATTTTTTTCTTCTGTGTCAGTTTTTACATGTTTCACTTTTCACTCTGAAAACATTTATCTCTCTTTAATCTTCTGATTTTAACCCTTGCATTTGAGACCAGTAATTCATAATCTGTTCCACAGTCTGCAGCTGGAAATGTTCTGGCTGAGGGGATTGCATATCTCATCTTCTATTTCCTTTTATGTAACTGATTTGATTCCAGAGTTATGCCTAGATGTCCAGTTGTAGAATCTGTATTTACAGTGCTTGATGGCAATTTCTTTTGTGTGTTGGCAAGGAACAAAAAAAAATATCATAACAAAACTCTATTAATTTGTCTCCTGTTTTACTACATCAACCAAAGCAAATTTTTCTGTAATTCCAGATTCATTTATTTCCCCATATTTGTATTCCAGTCATGCATGAATAGAACTCCTTTCTTTCTAGGTGTTGCTTTTGGCATCTTTTGCAGATTGCCAGTTCTTCAGTGATGTGCCATGTTGCATCTCTAGCTGGGGCATATATACTCATATAAGAGTGATGTTCACTTGATATCCATTAATTCTAATAGATATGATTCTGTTGTTTATTGGGTTAAAGCTGAATAGTGATGTCCTTTTTGGAATATCATTGCCACTTCATGCCATCGTATGGCTTCATGCCCAGAATATATAAATTAATCCATTTCAGTCACTCTAAGTTCATTTATTCCTAAAATATTTAATTTAATATGCTTCATTTCCATTTTAACAATTTCAAATTTTCTGTGTTTATTATTTTCACATTCCATATTTCAATTGTATATTGGCACCATCAGTAAATAGATTTCTTTGCAGCATTATTCTGTAAAAGTTCATTTTTCTTCCCCACTACCCAGAGTAGTGCCTTGCAGCTTGGAGGTGTTGTCATCTAGCACCCACATTTTTCTAAATGTTTCAGCCAGGTCTATACAGTTTTCTTGGTAACACTAGAGAAGTGGTTTAATGTAGGCTTCTTCTTTGAGGTTTGATTTTGTAGTTCTAGGTGGGTTGACTTCCCTTATGCCCTCAGAGTCACCTTTTAGCTTCACCATTCCCCTTTTGGACTTTACCAGCCTGCATCCAACATCATCATTTTCAGGATCATTGAAGCTACTGAGCCCTGTCACCCATCAAGATGGCAATCCCCTGGATGGTGTGGTGGTCTATAATCCATAAAAGCAAACCAAAATAATAAAATGAAGTAAAATCATAATAAATTCAATTTTAAAAACTTAAACACACCAAAATAACCAGAGTGGCATGGTAGAGAAGTACTTAAAGTATGATCAGGCTGTAGTCTCTTAAGAGTAAAACCCAGATCTTCACCTGATGCTGGAAGGCATCAGCCTTGCCTCCAGGGAATTGAATTCCAAAACACCACACAAAAACAGCCTTCTTCCATATATATCCTCACATACAATCTTCTCCCAGCTATTGGACACGGAAGAGGATTCCCCTTGCAGATCTTAACGTTTAGGAAGTATGTATTGAGTTAGCATTAGGGTCCTAAACTGTTCAAATCCTTAAATATTTATATTCAAACAATTCTTGCTTTCCCAGTAATGTTGTTCTTGCTTTTTCCCTTTTAAAACAGATATTTATTTGTTCTTCAGCTAAAGCAGGACATTCTGAGTGGCAAGTAAGTACCATTGATAATTATACTGAAACTTAGCTCACATAACATGCTAAATCTTGAGTTGGGTTTAATGTGATGTACATACTTGAACCATGTGTTAATTGTTCTTTAAGGAGAAGAATTATTAAACTTACTAAAATATATATATATATCACTATTCACCTAAACCACTGGCCAGTATATTACCTGAACCCAGATATGAGTTACAAGTTAAAATATGGTTAACTCTACTTTCTGTCCTCCACAGAGAGAGGCAGAAGGAAGGAGCCAGATGAATCTTTATAAGTCTGAGAACCTAGTTGTATAAACAACCTCCAGCTGCAGCCTCCTCTTTTATTTGGGGGGGGGGACCCTCACCTCCTCTTTGCAACACTGTAAGGCTGTGAGAAAAAGACTGAGAAATGCCCTGCCCTATTGCACACATAGATTGATTCTAAATGGAAAATAGTTTACTTGCTGCAATTCTCGTGTCATTACTGCTTTCGTCTTAATAAACCTTGCTAAACAGAAGTCTGTGAGATGTATGTTGGGAAAAAGCACTTTCAGTTGAGCCAGCTACCCAAGGTTTGCCAGACACTCAGTGTCTCTCTCACACCCATATCATCAGCCCCTAGGGCAGGTATATGGAGGATGAAATAACAATAGTGGAAGGACTGGAGGTTGCTCAGTCTTTTCCAGTAATGTCCACAATGACTCCAATGCACTGTGGGATTTTACTTTTTTTTTTTTTTTAATATAAAAGTCAAGTAAAAAGTGTCAGCTATCCAGCCACCATAAAAAGATACAGGTCAAACTATAACGGCTGGCTATAGTATGCTGTATCATGCAATATACTAAAGAAGTTAGAAGATTTGACTCAGAATATTATGGAAATGGGGTCTCTAAGTCAGTGTTTCTCAACCTCAGCAACTTTAAGATGTGTGGGTTTCAACCACATAATTCCCCAGCCAGCACTGGTCTTAGTCGCAGGCATCTGTTTACATGAAATATATGTAATATTAACTCATAATTCCAAAGTGGTACAACAAGTGAAGTCCCATATTTTCTTCCTTTCAGTTTCTTAAATGTCTTACTAGTTAAAATACTGCTCAAGGTTTCACATGGATATAGATGTGGGAATGAGGATCTGTTGTGCATTGGGGATATATTGCTCTATTTCAGACTTTGAATTTTGGATGAGTAGCTGATATAATATAAATGAGAAATGTATTAGTTATGTTCATGGTCTATGTATTTTTAGAGCCTCAAATCATTCTTCATGATTGCAGTACATTATCCATATTGCTTCTGTGCTTCCACAGAGCTTCATTTGAGTATATTTCTAGCTGAGAAGACTTTGGTATCAGATCTGATGTTGTTGATACTGTTTACATTGTCATCACATCTCCTAGATACTTTTTATATATAGTGCTGAAGCACCTGTGTGTCATGACCTCTTCCTTGACAACAAGAACCTGGTGGATCTCCTAAACCACAGTGAAGCTAATCCAGTTTACGATGGATTCTTCACATATTCTCTGCACATGACTATATCCCTGTATCTTTGATTATGCTTTCTCTAGTTTTATTTCTGGGTTTGGGGCTGTTTTGTTGTTGTTGTTGTTGTTTTGTCCTGCTTGTGCATTTTGTGAGGTTTCATAGCTTTGAATCATTTCTGGAAAACAGGCAGATACAAATAACATTCATCATATGACACCACTTATTTGGCTCAAAGTCCTTTGCTTCAAACTAAATGTTTGACTGTGGTCCTTTGCAAGCAGATTTTTTCATCATGGTGCATAATCTACAATGGCTGGTCTCTTTATAGAATGAGGATGGATACCTGATAGGTCACCATTTCTCCCTGTAGGTCATAGGATTCTATTGCACAAAATTTGTCACCACCTTTGTGATGATCCAGGATATATATATATCATGTATGCTATGCAGATATAGTTCTACTGCTCTCTTCCGCTTTTGCATAGGAGTTGCCTTTATCTGCCATGTTCATATCTTGAGTTCCTGAACAAAAGGTGGGATATAAATCTAACTAACAAACTTATTTTGCAGTACTGGTGTTTCTATTACCTAGATAGTCTCTTTCCAAAATTTCAAGCATATCTGATAATCCAACAACTTGTTCTCCTCTGACATCCAGTAAATTCATCACAAGTAGCACATCCAATCACCTTTCTTATGAGGCTAAGTGGATTTGATTTAAACATTTTGTCTACATCTCAGGTTTTACCTCTTGTTTACTACAAAACATTATGTCATCCCTGTTGTCTCAGGTATCCAAAGTTTTAACTTCTCTTTGCTATTCTTTGCTCCAGTCTTTTGTTGTTGTTGTTGTTCAGTCATTAAGTTGTGTCCGACTCTTCGTGACCCCATGAACCATA